AATGTAACATGGGACGAGAAAACTTTCGAAATGTGTACCTCCCTTCAAATATATGTAAAATGACAATTAATTAATTGTCGAATAATGCCTATTTTTGGCATGATAAGTAATAGCTTTACTAATAACCATTTTTATAGCCATTTGTTACATGAAAATGTAACTAGTATTCTACAAAAGTTGGTTCGAAGAACAACAGTTTTGGTGTCTTCGGAGAATTAATAATTGGTTCGAAGTACAAACTTAATATTTTCATTAATTATGTGTGAACCAGAACATACAAAATTTGAATAACCACAATGTTGGCCAGAAGTTGCTTCGAAGGCGCTTTTGCCATAATTTTGTAAGCTTCGAAGCACTCTATCTTGCATTAATAGCTTCGAAAAAACAATAATGGTGGTTGTGAACCTTCGAAACTTTGCCGAGTATTTCCAATGATGTAATTCGTCATTTGGCGGCACTTTCGACCTTCGAAGGATGATTTCGGTCCTCTATACCACCTTCGAAGCTTGTTACTAGTCCATAATAACTAGCATGTGTAACAGTTAAGGTGAATCATGTTTGAATATTGGCTTTGCCTTGAAAATATGAGGTTCTGAATGATTCTAAGTGCAAGCAACATCAACCTACTTCAAAAGGTTCCAAGTTTTCTAAGTGTTTGAAGTACGAGTAAAATAAAATTGTTTAATTTCCTTTAACGGATTGATGTCGATTCGAAGTACATATATAATATCCCTTCAAGGCATAAATATACATATAATTCGAGACATCTAGTCGTAATTTCATACTCATTCGAAGCACTTTATTGGTGCTATTATATCATTCGAAACACTTTGTTAATATTATTCAAAGCACTTTATTACTTAGATTAGTCATGTGTTTGGTTTGATCCTTCAAAAATTCAAGTAAATATCATTTTTAAGGGTCGCGGGGGGATAATGTTGGCACCATAAATCTATAATTTTTATTATTATTTATTATTTATACAATTGCAGGATATGTGACATCCTCCTACTCATTTGGAGGTTATGATAATTTATGAAATGTGAAAAGATGATAGAAAATAAAGTGGAGAACATGGAACATGAAGTGTAGGTTGAATGAAGTTATGGAAGATCGTGTAGTATGAAATGGAGGATGTGGAAGAGTGTGTAGTTTTAGGTAGTGTTTTCCTACAAATGTTTACCTATAAATAGCCATTTATGGCTACATTGTAAAGAGGTCAGAACTCAAATTAAAGACAATTGATTTTAATATTTCTTGTCATTTTCCTTATCTTAGGAGTAGTTTAACATAGATTTATATTTCTGTCACCACCCAAACCAGCCCCTGTAGGTTTAGCACCGTAACCGGCCAGTAATCCGTGGATTACCAAAGGCCTCTGAACAGTTTATCAAGTAATAAGGGGCTGCGGAAGCAATAAAACAAAATAGACAAGGTCCAATGAGCTGTGATAACGTACATGGGACAGAACATTTTAAAACTTATTTATATAGACATAAACATGCCAGTTAAGGACACCAATATTTACAAAATAATTACATCCCAAGACCTATCCTTACAACACATACAGAGACTTGCATGAATACAAAACAGCCATGGCATTAAACTTCGATCGGAACCTTCCCGGGAGGCACAAAGGTTGGCTGACAAAACAGTACAGAAGCCCGTCAACTCTGGCCCTGGTCAAGTGCCGGCTCACCTACATATATAATATAAATTGTGAGCGAAAGTCCAGTGAATAATAACAGAGTAAAGGGGTTATATGAATGATGTCCAGCACAAGTTAGAATCCATCATTTAAATCAGAGCATAATCAGACTTCAAAACAGAAACAGATTCATATACATTTTCATATTCAGATTTTGCATAAGATCATACGTGGTACACCTATTAGCTATCAGATCAGATTGATCCAGAGACCCATATATATAGTTGGTACCAACGACCACAAAGGTCCATATCTTGCGCGCAAGTAGCCATGGTATTGTTTCCCCTAGGCAAGGGCCACGTGCAAATTGGCCGCGGTATTGTTACCCCCGGGCGAGGGCCATATGCAGATTGGCCGCGGTATTGTTACCCCCGGGCGAGGGCCACGTGAACTAAGGATGCCACAAATACTTTTTAGAAAATTTGACATTCATTCATCATTCGTAAGATAGCATTTCAGAAAACAGATTATACCGTACCAGTCAAAAAATACATAGGTTAAACATAACTTTACAGAGTTATTACTCACAGTGGGCCTTGAGACAGACAGACGGAGTAAACTTGGTCAAACGGTACGTGGCACGTGACCTACATAACACATAACAGATGCACACTTGAAACACACGATCTAATTGCAAAAAATTTATTTTATTGGCCCTTAGTGTGTTTCTAATCTCTTATCCTCATTATGGGGTCTAAAACATGGCCTAGGAATGCCTAGAATGGAATGAGGATGCAAAGATGCCTTGGAAAACATTTTTCAAAACTTGCTGAAAATAGGGGTCTCGCTCGAGCATGGCTTTCTTCGCTCGAGCGAGCTTGCCAAAACAGAAAGGTCGCTCGAGCGTAGACTCCTTTGCTCGAGCGGTCTGTAAAAATGCAAAAGTACTGGTTGTTGAAATTTTACGCTCGATACCCGCTCGACGCTCGCTCGAACGTGAGACACAGCTCTACGCTCGAGCGTAGGTCTCGTCGCTCGAGCGTGCGTCTGCGTGCACCAAAAACCTGAGAGCTTGCAATTTATGCTCGAGCCACCATTCATTCGCTCGAGCGGATCTCTGAACAAACGATGGTCGCTCGAGCGTAGAATCCTTCGCTCGTGCGAGGAAGCCAAATTCTGGAATTTCCAGATTTGCCTCCCAAGCTCAAACCAAGTATTCAACACCTCAAAACTGGACCTCTTGGGCCCATTTTCTGGAAACACTTGTAAACTCATAGTATAAGATGTTTCAAAGATCAATTTGTAAAATCAAAGCCCAAGGGTGAGTCAATTGAACACAATTTCAAATAAAACTTCAAGAACAAAACAAGAGCTTAACATGCAAGTGTTCATTTTAAATCCAATACTCTAAAACATAACCAAATGTAAGATTGAACTCAAAATCATGATGAACTCATGGACTATAACTAGAATATGGTCTTGCATGCAAGAATTTCCATGAAAACACTTCAAAATGCTAAGATATGAACATGCATGCATGAATTCCTACTCAATTCAACATATTAAGCTAATTCATGTCTTAAATCACTAATGGCTCATGGACCATGCAAGATACAACCAGAATTCAAGGTTCAAGAAGATGATTCTCCTACCTTAAGTCCTCAATTTCAAGTTTAGAAGCTCAATTACACAATCCACTCTTCAACTTTCTAAGCAAATCTCAAGATGAACTCAACTTTTCTTCCAACTCTCTGGCTCCCTCTCTCATACGGTTTGTTCTAAGGAAAATGGCTGAAGAAAAGGTGCCTCAAATGTATACATTAAGTCCTCAAACAATGACCCTAAGGTGGCCCACTCAATGGCAAGTTGGTAATTAAAGCAACCAATATAACTCAACATTATTTAATCTAATTTAATCGCTCCGAACCGAATTTTAATTAAACCTACAATAAGGCCTAGTTTGAGAAGATTAAATAAGTGCACTTTTTGACTTTTTATGAAATATGGGTTGGGTTTGGGTTGGGTTTGAAGTGATGTGTTAGAGAGGTGATGTGACTTAAATAAGATGATTTGACTTAAATAGGATAGTGACTTTTTGACTTTTTGTCTTTTTTCAATCTTCCCAAACTAGGCCTAAAATTCTATAAGTCCTGACTAGCACATAAATCAAGTCAATTTCTTATTCAGACGCCGATAAGGCTTTCAATACGCAATTTAAAGTCAAAGACATGAACAGATCATTTTATCGCAAACAGATAGAAACATGTACATAACGCAATACACATGCAAATTAATTCTAAATCTCTCCTAATCTACTGTTAGACATAATTAAGTGTGAATTAACGTTAATCAGAGGTTGGGGTTATTACAATTTCGAAACATTTATTTTCAGCATTTCATTTTAAAAACATTTTATGCACTTCATTTTCGAAGCATAGGAGTAGAGGTAAGTAATTATTAATTTGATTGTTCACTTAATCATTTTTTCCATCTCGCTACTTCTTTTTTAAATTTTTTTTTCTTTACACTTGGCAATTTTGAAGTCCTCTTTGTTGAATCAAAAGAACCATTAATGCAATCGTTTGATAATTGACTTGAATTTAATCTGTAAGGATTTTTCAACCCTTACTAGCACGCCCGCATTTATGATATTTTCCTTCGCAACAAAAATAAGCTGGATAATACATTCCCATTCACAATTTTAAGCGTCTTGCATAGTAAAAGTATATATAATTTGCATTATATATTTTGTTTAGTCAATTTATATAATTAGCAAATGCATGATGTAATTTCCTTATGATTATCTCTATCAAACTAATTATTTTTATTTTTTAATTAAAATAATAAATAAATCACTAAATATCACCTCTATCAAATCAGTTATCAAGTTAGACATTTTAGTTTTGATGTTTTAACTCAACAAATGTAACTAGTAATTTATCCTGACTAAGCATTAAAAAAAATATTACTTTTTATATTTTGAAATTAATTGTGTTAAGTTCATAAAAATTAATTACAAATTAAAATGAATAAGATAGTGTTTAAATAGTATAGAGAAGTAAAAGAAAATTTACTAGAGAATATATTTTCAAAGATGTAAAACTAAAATAAATAAATTAAAATTTGTAAATTAAAATATAATAAAATTTTAACTATTTTGTCCTCGTATTAGAGATGGTGAACATAAAATAGAAAGTGATTGGGTAGGAGCACTGGTATACAGTGCTCTCAAGGCCATCTGATTTTGGCTTGCAAGCCTCTCCATTCGGACAAGACTGTCCTCTCGTTCGCTAATATCCATGCGTATAAAACTGTCTTCTTTCATAATCAGTCGGACAATATTGTAAATACACACTTATCCTCAATTAGGGTTTTATTTGAGATTGAGAGAATTCTAGGGTTTTTGTTTGTGGGTTTTAGAGTTTGAGAAGCAGGAAGACCCAAAACCAGAAGAACAAGTTTCTTGCTTATTCTCTGGTAAGTTTCGCCCTTCGTCTTCTTTTTCGGCGTTTGTTATTGCCTTCGTCTGTTTGGCTTCCAAGAAAATAAAGGGAAAGCAGAGGAAAGCTAGTTTTTTTTTTTTTTTTTTTGTACGTGCGTGTTGTGTTTTGTTCTGGAATGACGAGAAATCCAATTCAACTAAGTCGAATAGTTGGACACGACCCAATTTCTTGAAAGCCCCATGCTTTCTTCGTAATCAAACAGACCCTTCATGGATTTTCTCCATGTTTTAAAAAAAAAAAATTATTGTTATTTTATAATCTTCATCATTTTGTGTGGTTGAATCAGGTGAACAATTTGATACAATGTATCTTCAGTTTTACATAAACGAGAATGGTGACAAAGTTTACACCACTAAGGTATGTCATCATAGGTCATTACTTTTATCTTTCATTCAGATTGCTATATCATTTAACCTGTTTTCTTGTTGGTTTGTTGATTTAACCATCTTTCAATCACTTGAGAAGGTAAGGGGTAAAAAGTGGGTTCTGTTGCTTAATTTTGCTGCTTGAATTTTTTTTTAAAAAAATGTGGGTTTTGTTGTTAAAATATGTAATCTCAGTTTATGTCATGGATTTCAAAGTTACGGGACTTGATATTTTAGTTCTGTTATTTTTTATTTTGTTTTTATCCCTTTTGCATTTCTAATTAACATTGGCGTCATTGGTGATGAAGTCGTTTGGGTTTTTTTCTTAATAGTTAGATTTATCTTCCCGTTGATGATTTTTTGTTGTTGTTTGTTGTGTGTAACCAATATGAGAGTGCCTGTACACCACCTCAGGTGTGGTGTCGGCAAAGATTTATGAAACTCAACTTTGGTGGTGACAGTTGGTTATGGGTTATATTTCAAGCCTGATGATGATGTTGATAAATTAACCAAATTGAATATGGCAATCCTAACCATGGTTTTAAACTGCAGTATTGGCCAGTGTGACATTGCAATTGTGTTGTAATGGTATTGAAAAAAAAACAGTTAGTGTGAAACTTCAAGCACTTGCAAATGCCAAAAAAACTCATTATAAGCATGTTTTGACTCTATTTATCACAATTTGAATGTTTGTAATGCTTTTAATCAACATTATGGCACCTAAAAACATGCTTTGCAAAATGATATTGAATTTTATGTTATTTTTTTAAAGCCAAAAAAGTGGGAATTTTCAGCTGCCAAGGGAATTTCATCATGTGGAACACTTAGAAATGCTACTAGAACAAATAATTCATAGCTATAAGATGAATGTAAGCCAGTATTGTTGGTACACGTTTGTATACACTTCACTGAAGTGTATCATTTGTTTTCTTTGTATACACTTCAATGGAATGCCCTTCAAAGCACTTTCTTCTTGGCATTTGCATAAACTTTACTGAATGTTGAAAGTAGTGTTAACTATTTTTTTCTGCGTTCAACTTAATGTCAACTTTTGTCATCTATTATCTTCTGTTTTTGCTCACTGCTGACATTTGGTTTGCTATTCTGTGTGTAGAAAGAAACACCACTAGGATTGGCTACGCAATCTGCTCATCCAGGTATTTTCTCTTTATTGATTGTGACTTCTGGGTGTATTTTACTACTTCTGGTGTGTTTTGAAGTCGAAATTATGTGAAGATTTCAGAAAGGAAAAGAGTTCTCGACCTTCATCATTCTATTGAGAGAGAGACCTGTTTTGACCTGGCTTAATACCGTTTGGAAAAACTCACAAACATTCATTGGTAGTTCAAGTTGTTCTAAACACAGTTTTGAATCTTGCACATATGTTGCTCGTGTCTCCACGACTTGTTAAGTTATTATACTGCACAATGTTTCCTTGGGTCCTTTTGTTGAGTTATTCAGTAAAAGTTTTTATAGATTTGCTATCAACTAAACTTGCATTTATAAATGCAATTATTCCATTGCTATTGTTTATTAGGGAAACTTTTTGGTAGTGCCTGCTGTGTGACAAGTTATTGTGTTGATTGTTGTAGATCTGTTTTTGACATGAGTGTTTATTTTAACTTAATTGTTGAAATTTATATTCCAGATTGGGTATTTTTCAAGTTGAATCAATTTGCATTCTTCATCTTACTTCTTCCTTTAAACCAAACCTTTCTAGGCTGTATGTTTCATGTTCAGATGGTTGTACCTTGATCCCAGCCCTATAAAATTAATATTCTAAAATACGTAAAATCAAAAAAAAAAAAAAGCAGAGAATTCCTTTACAAAAATAAATGTATAATATTTGTTTCCTTATTTTTTGTTGAAAATATTACTGGTAAGTTGGTTAATCAAAGTAAAGTCATCCCATAATCTACTGCACACTTCGATATTTTTCTAATATTGGATGAAAAATCGTAGCTTTCTTCATTAATATTTGAAGGTCTTGACAATTATTTTCCCCCCTTTCCCCATCCACAATCAAAGAGTTCAGTATTTTTTTTTTCTTTGTTATGCGTAATCCTAGTTATAAATGATTTTATAAAAAGGAGATCTCTGCGAAGATTTGGTTGGAAATCCCATTTCATTACTTTGGAATTTGCATTTATGTGTATCAGGTTGTGGTAGTAGGTTGTTTTGGGCTTAAGCCCATTGTTAATTTTTGTCCATGTTTAAGTAGATAATTTTTTGTAAGAGTCAGAGTGATCAGAGTCGGGCTAGATGAAGAAGAATAGAGCGCTTGCTTTCCCCAATAATCACACCTGTTCTTCTCTCTTGTCATCTCCTATTCTTTGGGATTTTGTCTCACATATGCGTGTCTATATTTATGCATATTCTACTAGTTAGATTGTTGAACAACAGAAGAATATAATGCACACTGCATTGTTCTCATAATTAATCTGTTTTATTTATTTATTGTTATATTTTTTCAACCACAGCTCGCTTCTCCCCTGATGACAAATATTCAAGGCAAAGGGTTCTTCTGAAGAAACGATTTGGATTGCTGCCAACCCAAAAGCCAGGTCCGAAGTATTGAGTACTTCACCGGGCTTCTTCTTCTTCATTGCTATTTTTACTGTTGTGAGCTTTTCTTTATCATGTCAAATTGGGTGTGGAAGGGTTTATCTTCATGTAGCTGTCCAACTTAATAGCAGTAACAGTGTGCATGAGGTTGGTCAGCAGTAAAGTTTTCGGATGCTGAAATTAAACTACATTACATTTTGGAAAGTTTTGGTTAGATACGTTGCACGGTTGTTAATGATCTGATTTGTTCCTGGATCGAGACATAAAAATGTGCCTGTTATTGTCATTGCTGATATTATGCCACAGTAGATGGTGGCCGCATTGTAAAAGCGTTGCGGGGTTCAGTAACAAATCAATTACAATATAGGGTAAATTATAAATAAATCTTTGAGATTTGTTTAAAATATGAATTGTCTTTATTATTAGAAAAATTATATCTTGTCTCTTGAAGTTTTTTAATTTCATAACAAATGGTCTTTTTTATTAATAAATCACAGTAGTTTTTAATAATGGTAGAAATGTATTTCAATTAGTAATTTAGGTACTAATTCAAGTAAATTTATTATTGTATAAGAAATTAATTAGGAATTTTATGTTTTTGATTAATTTTGTTAAATAATTTTTTTTGATAAAAGAGTATTTTTAATTTTTCAAATTAATTCACAAACTTCAGGGAATATTTGTAATTTATCCTACAAAATTTCAAGCCCCGTGTTGTTTCTTTTCCCAATCATCGAAGCATTTATTGTTATTGGGGGGTGTTTGGTGGGTTTTTTTGAGCCAGTTTATGGCTGCTGGTTTTTAAAAAGTTATTTTGGATTGCTTGGAAACGACGTCGTTTTGAGTACAGAACAACATAAAAATGGCCAAAACGACGTCGTTTTGGCCATTTGAGCCACTTTTGAGCCACAAAATTTGAGCTACGAGACATTTTTCAAATTTATTTCAAACAATTTCTTATTCTAACAACTTATTTTAAGTCAAAAAAACTGATTCTGAGAAGCTGTTCATCCCTTACTTCTGATTATCAGCTTTTGCTGTGGACATGTTAATTTACGGTTATACTCTTAGATTTTTTTATTTTTTATTTTTTTAAAAGAATAATGCTTGGGACCCCCTTTTGGGGGTCACCCCTCACCCCCCCCCTTTGCCACGTGGCGGGTGGTGATTGGAGGAGCAGGAAAAAAAAGAAAAAGAAAAAGAAAACCCCCTCACCCCCTTTGCCACGTGGCAGGTGGTGATTGGAGGAGCAGGAAAAAAAAAGAAAAAGAAAAAGAAAATGTAACCAATGAGAGAGAGAGGGGGTCAAAGGGGGTGGAAGGAAAAGGGGGATAAATCATTGTTGTTTTTAAAATACCAATTTTACCCTCACTAGGTAAATTACATTGACACTTCTCACATTTTAGAAATTACAATCTCTTCCCTAAGGTTTAATGTAGTATTACCAATTGCCCCCTCGATTAGTATTAGTTGGAAAAAAAAAATTAATTGGAAAAAAAATTAATTGAAAAAAAATTTATTTAAAAAATTCTCTCTTGTCATCTCCTATTCTTTGGGATTTTGTCTCACAAATGCGTGTCTATATTTATGCATATTCTACTAGTTAAATTATTGAACAATAGAAGAATATAATGCACACTGCATTGTTCTCATAATTAATCTGTTTTATTTATTTATTGTTATATTTTTTCAACCACAGCTCGCTTCTCCCCTGATGACAAATATTCAAGGCAAAGGGTTCTTCTGAAGAAACGATTTGGATTGCTGCCAACCCAAAAGCCAGGTCCGAAGTATTGAGTACTTCACCGGGCTTCTTCTTCTTCATTGGTATTTTTCCTGTTGTGAGCTTTTCTTTATCATGTCAAATTGGGTGTGGAAGGGTTTATCTTCATGTAGCTGTCCAACTTAATAGCAGTAACAGTGTGCATGAGGTTGGTCAGCAGTAAAGTTTTCGGATGCTGAAATTAAACTACATTACATTTTGGAAAGTTTTGGTTAGATACGTTGCACGGTTGTTAATGATCTGATTTGTTCCTGGATCGAGACATAAAAATGTGCCTGTTATTGTCATTGCTGATATTATGCCACAGTAGATGGTGGCCGCATTGTAAAAGCGTTGCGGGGTTCAGTAACAAATCAATTACAATATAGGGTAAATTATAAATAAATCTTTGAGATTTGTTTAAAATATTAATTGTCTTTATTATTAGAAAAATTATATTTTGCCTCTTGAAGTTTTTTAATTTCATAACAAATGGTCTTTTTTATTAATAAATCACAGTAGTTTTTAATAATGGTAGAAATGTATTTCAATTAGTAATTTAGGTACTAATTCAAGTAAATTTATTATTGTATAAGAAATTAATTAGGAATTTTATGTTTTTGATTAATTTTGTTAAATAATTTTTTTTGATAAAAGAGTATTTTTAATTTTTCAAATTAATTCACAAACTTCAGGGAATATTTGTAATTTATCCTACAAAATTTCAAGCCCCGTGTTGTTTCTTTTCCCAATCATCGAAGCATTTATTGTTATTGGGGGGTGTTTGGTGGGTTTTTTTGAGCCAGTTTATGGCTTCTGGCTTTTAAAAAGTTATTTTGGATTGCTTGGTTAAACTTATTTCAAACAGTTTCTGATTCTAACAACTTATTTTAAGTCAAAAAAACTGATTCTGAAAAGCTGTTCATCTCTTGCTTCTGATTATCAGCTTCTGCTGTGGACATGTTAATTCACGGTTATACTCTTAGATTTTTTTATTTTTTATTTTTTTAAAAATAGAAAAAACCCAAAGGACTATAAAATATTATTATTATTTTTTATGAAAAATGTAGACAAATAGTGAATAATAAAAAATAAAAATTAATTTAAAAAGTTACTTTACAGCTTATTTAACAAACACTACACAGCAACTTAAATATATAATCCAATAGTTATACCAGACAGATTAATAGCTTTTGATTAAAGTCATAATTTATAATCTGTTAAGGTATAATGTATAATCTGTTTTAACAGTTACACCAAATAGCACCATTATCTTTTGTTTTGATAAACAAAAACAATTAGAAGTTTGAAAATGGCCATTATTTTTTTGTGAAAATAAATCTAAATTATTTCTTCAAGGTTGGGGTGTTTCTCAAAAAACAAATTTTCAATTTGTATTTTGCAAAAAAAAAAAAATTGTATAAACTTTAGTATTTCTAGAAAATAACTTTAAAAAAGATACCAAATATTGATTCATGAATTTGATCGAGATGCAAATAACAAACATGAATAAAATCTTAGAATTTAAAGTGAGATGCAAATAACAAATATGATAAAGACATCAAGATTCTTCTGCTATATTGTTGTGGGTGTTCTTCTTCTTTAACTTTAACTTTTAGTGGTATTTGAAGATTGGCGGCTATGATGATAGAGTTGGACAGTAGTGATAGGGACAACATCGACAACGACGGTGGGTTTAATACAAATTTTGCATCTTAAATCACGTTTTAAGTAGATCAGTAATTTTTTTCTGGATCGTAACTTTTGTTAGGCTTTTTTTTTTTTTTTTGTGGGTGTACCTTTTAGTTTTTGTTAGATTATTAGATTGTTTGTTTGGCCCTTTAGGGTCTTGTTTTTTTTTTCCTTAATCATTATGTTGTTGACTTTTGTTTTAATATAGGTGTTTTATATGTTCTAAAAATAAAAAATAAATAAAAAAACAAATCCAGAATTATAAGGTAAAATCTAGGAAAATGTTTGTAGAAATTATATGTATAATTTTTTTACATCATAATTTATAAGGTAAATTATACTTTACTCCATTTATATTTGACTACTTTCTCACTTTGACCTTTAAATTTTTTTTTTTTTCCACTTTAATCCCTTTTCTTTTTTTTTTTCTCACTTTATGCTTAAAAACAACTCCAAGGGAGGAGGCAAACTGGACATTTGGATCATTTTGCCTATTGAAGTTGCAATTTATGGCCTCCAACAACAGGCTATGCAAAACTACAGGCATTTTGCCTGTATTTTTATTTTTTTTTTATTTTCGTTCTTTAACTAGCATTGTAAGCTAATCAAAACTTTCTCCATGTGGTCAAAAAAAAAAAATATATATATATATATATATACATATAGGGCGTGTTTGATTGGGAGGATTGGGGGGGACTATCCACTATTTGGATTACAATCCAAATAGTGTTTCTTATCCGTCGTTTGATTTTTATTTAGTCCAGGCGGACTCCATGTCCTCCATATGGGGGACTATCCTGTCCTGGGGGGTGGGATTGTTTTTGGGAGGACTAATCACTGTTTGGATTAGATGCGAAAATGACAATTTTGACCCTCTACTATTTAATTATATATTATATTTAATAAAATTTAAATGTCTCAATTTAAAAATAAAATAATTTTATTTAACTTTTTATTAATGTTTTATTTATTTAATTTTTTAAAATAATTTTTTATAGATATTTTATTGATGTTTTATTTTAAAATTTTGTTTATGTTTTATTTAATTTCATTGTTTAAATTTAATAGATGTTTTAATAGATGTTTTATTTAAACAATTAAATGTTTAATTTCAACAATAAATAATTTCATTTATTTAAATTATGTTTTATTTAAACATTTAAATATTTGTACATCAACATGTTTATTAAATTATTTCAACATCTGTACATCAACATGTATATTTATTTAACATCTATTAAATTATGTTTTAATACGTCAACATTTGATTACATCTACATTTGTTAATTGTTAATTACATCAACATTTGTTAATTGTTTAAACATAATCTGTACATCAAAATAATTTCAATGTTAATTGTTTAAATAAAAATTTAAACATTTAACCATTAGTATGTTTAATTTCAACAATAAATTTTTATTTGTTTAAATAAAAATAATCTGTACTAGTCAAAAAAATTTATCAATATTAGTATGTTTAAATATCTTTAAACAAAATTTAACCATTAGTATGTTTAATGTTTACTAAAAATAATTAAAATATTAAAGAAATGTTTAATATTGCTGTTACTTAGTAAACAATTGAAAAAGGGTAAAATAGTCTTTTGTTTATTTATCCTATCCAATCCGTCCAACCAAACGTTGGATTCACTGAAAATAGTCCTATCCAGACATCTAATCCCATGAAAAAACAAACACAGGATACATATCCAATCCGACCAAATAGTCCGGGGGATTCACAGTCCGAGGACTCAAGTCCGATAGATTCTAATCCCCCATGTTCCAGTCCGTCCAATCAAACACACCCATACTTTCTCCATAATTAATATTGCA